TGCCTCTGGCTTGGAATTTGTTCTATCACAAAGAAAAGCAGTTAAAATTTTGAAAAAATTATCTGAGCTGCCCTAGTCAACAGAAAAGAAGGAGGATTAGTTCAAGAGCAGACTACCACAGCTTTTGACCCAAGTACTAGTTAGATGGCTGCAGAGAGGAGTACATTCAAAGTCAGATATAAATTAGGTAAATTTCACATCTGGTTAAAGGGATCAGGAAGTATTCTCATCAGCTTGTAGCTTCCCCAAACTAGTCATCTCTTCAGGCAATGCTAACTCCACTTCATATCTCAAAGGACTGTATAACACAGCAGATTTATCAATACCCAAATATAAAGTTTTCTCTTAAAAGCAATTACAGCATGGACTTGTACTGAAGGGGTCCCTCAAACCTGTTAGCCTGATGAGCTCCACCACCCAGCACCCCACACTACTTACAGGTTCGATCTGAAATGGAAATGTCAGCCTTCACTGTCTAGGGCAGGGGTGGCATACACACACACATGGATATCATGAGCCCTGGCATGGCCTATCGGGGTGCCCCAGCACCCTGTAGGTTGCTGCAAGAGCTCCTGGCATGCAGGACAGAATACAGCCTCTTTTCTGCTGCAAAGGACCACGTTTTTTTCAGAGGACCAAAACCAGACATAAATGTCACAATTTCAATGACTTTTAACCAATTTTCCTGTGAAAGCAGCACAGGGACTCAGCCATAATCTTTGCTGGGAGGTTGAACTCAAAATTATTTGAAACGGGTGCTGGTATACAAGCCAGATACCTTTCAATATCAAGAGCATAGACATAATATATCAGGTATCACTTTACAGCATGAGTTTTAAGTATTCTATATGTGGAATCATATATTCACATACTGAAATGGGCAGCACATTTAATGAATAGTCCAGGTGACTACTGTAGGTTTTAACTGCCAAGACCAAAACTGATTTGCCAACATGAAAGGCTCCTCAGGTTCTCCCTTTATATCACTTCAGCTGCCCACTGTTACCAAAGCAGAAAAATGTCATATAAAGGATATATATTTATATGAATTCACTGACTGTTTTTCTCCATCTATACTTTGCAGCATAGATGGTCTATATTTGGACATACTCCAGAACAAGAGGAATTAATATTGCTTTGAACACATAAGCTGAAATAAAAAAAAATCCATTTACACCTGGCCCTAAATTGCTATATGTATATTAGATACATAAATCAGGCTTCCCTAAAGTGGCAAACAAGCAACCAAAATTTTATCAAATATAATCTGGCAAAACCAATTGGGTATTTTATTTGTCTGGTAGTCCCATAAGTATGTTAGATGACTATACTTCACCCTTTCTAAGTATTTTTAGGTAAAGCTGGAGGTATTAAATATCTACAAGACACTGTGAAGATACACTTTTTAAACAGAGTGATGTTTTGAGAACTTCATTTTTAATGTCATGAAAATGTTTCATTCATTGGGGATGAGGAAACGAGTTGGTAGGCAACGAAAGCAGTTAAGTACATTTGACCTCTCTCTGGCTTTTGCATTGTTCACAGGTGCAAAGACTGAATAAGTACTGAAAAAAAGTTGAAATCATGCTGCATGAAGGGAACTGAACTGAATGAGTGAGACAACAAATAATTATAAAGAGGTAGAGCAGCAAACTATTTTTTTAAAAAAAGAGGAACTCTTTACTCACGGATATGATTTGATATTCTGGTTTTCAGAATACAGTCATAGAGTACAGACATGCCACCCTCTCCTCCAACAAGAAAAACATAGAGGTCGATGTGATACTTGTAATAAACAATGACAATGGCTTAAAAGATCTTTTTTTTTTAAATCAGGCACATGAAAATTTGGTTGCTCTTATTTGGTATGAGCCACTCCCCAAAACCCTTTGTTCCTTATTCCACAGTAATGCAGAGGTCTGAATGAAACAGCACCATGCACAAAGGCATTGCATGTGAGTTTTGCCTTTTCCATGCCTATCTCAATGAACATCACCTCCTGAGACATCAGGAGCAACTAACTACTGTAGTTTCCAGGCAGTCAGCATAGCGGCCAAACTACCCTTTGAGACCGTGTGATGGAGCCCAGATGTCATCCTCCTGTAACTGATAGGTGAGCACGAGAAGGGGATTTTTAACCAAGGCAGGATGAGTTGGTTAGATAGTTGCTGAGGAGGGTAAGATCACATCAGACATGGCTTCAACTCACATTTACTCTGATCTATGGGTGCTGCTGCCGCCCAGAGCAGTCCTGCAGCACCTCTGACCCACAGCACCAGGCCTCCTGCCCATCTCAAGGGCTGGACCAAACAGTTGGACCAAGGACATGTGGTTCCATGAGCTGACCCAACAGAAAACTATGTGGGCTTTGCTATTTTGGGCTAGCTAATTTTCCATTAGCCTGCTCTACTAATCAATTGATACGACTCAAAGGAAGCAGCAAGAATATGTGACTGAGGGCAAGACAGATTGAGGTCACTCTTT